TTTACGTTACATTTTGCTTGCGCTCAAAATCTTTAAGACTTAGAAACTTGAAATTACTAAGGTGTGTAAAAATGTATCAGGAATTCGATGAGATAAAAAAAAATTATGATTCGATTGTTTCTTCAAGAACTATTAACTGTTAAAACTTCTAGTAAAAAAACATGTAGATCAATCTACAGCCGGTTGAAATACAACGACAGAGTTTGCGATCTGCTGTTCGGACCATTTTGTATTATAATTTTAACAAGAGATGTTTTTCTTCTTCTTTGTTTGAAACAACGTATTTCTTCGTATTTTACTTTATTTACACAACAATAAATTAATATGCAAATTAAAAACTAATGTGTCTGAAAGGAGACCAACTGAAATATATGAGATTCCCCACTTTGCAAAAGAAATTTCACGAAAACAGTTTTTTTACTTAGCACCTAAATTATATAATAAATTACCATTTCAGTTGCAAAATATCCAAATATATTCTTTTTTTATGCGTGCTTTATTTCAATTTGTGATGAACATTGATAGTTTAGATCTCAATTTTTCACTTTAATGGAAGCATTTGATTTTTTATACCAGTCTTGTGCCAATCCAAATGAATTTTATATGTTACCTTTGTTATTTTTTTATATGGTTTCATGTATTATTTTTTTAATTTTCTATTTTAAAATTATTGTATTACCTTTCCTTGTCGCTTGGACAGGATTTTCCTCTTGGCTTGAATTCTTTGTATTTATGTGTTTGTTTTTGTTCCCAATAAAGTTTTGTTTGTTTGTTTGTTTAAAAAAAATTCCCATTTGTTCGAAAGTTAGTGCAAAATTAAGTACTTTCTAGTGATTTTTTCAGCTCTTTTGACTTAAATATTGACTATTTATCCCTTGTTGTAGAAATGCTGTTCTCCATCAAGAGATCTTTATTTCTATTTTATAAACTCACGCTTAAGTAGAAGTCAATCAAAAGTAACACAGAGAGAGAGACACAAAGAAAGAGAGACAAGGAGAGAAATGACATGTTTCCAGACATAAATCTTAACAGTCATAGTGAAATTTTTTATATAAAAAAAATCTTAACAAATGGTGATAAAAATAGTCCCCGATTTTAGTAAGTCTGTTCAACAAGTGAAATGACTTCTCATTTATTTCTTCTTACTAAATCTTACAACATATCTTAGATAAGTTTTTTTTTCAAGTACAGATGATTATATTCAAATCTAGGTAATCGTATATTTCGTTGAGATTTACAAAAACTATTCCTACATGCAGCTGAAATATTTTAAATATTTTGCGTTTTTGTGGAAACTATTGACATTTAAAAAGAAATAAACAATGATGAAAGCGAATCAATTTTGTGGGTTGGTGAGGGGAATGATAAGGGGTAAAAAATCCCAGCTTAATAAATAAAGGCATGCTATTAATCAGAAAGCAATCCTAGTGAGTCAGCAAAATTGTATCCCTTATCAGAGCAGGAAAAATGGATTAAACAGTATAAAGAAGGGCAATTTTATAGCGTGTAGTTAAATGTAACTTTTGTGCGAATAAGCAAAAGAGCTGTTTTGTTTCAATAATTTTGTTGTTAATATTCTTTTGTCCGTTAAACATAGTTCATAACTACTTAAACGGAGAATAAAAAATTTATATGTTTTTCAGAAATTAGTTAAAAGCTATAGGTTTTGATCTCATGAATAACGACTTTAACCATTTTATCTTACGATATATGTTGATACATTTTCTTTTTGAAAATGTTATATTTAAGAAAAATATATTTAGAATCATAATTTTGATTGTAAAATGGAATATTTTTATTGAATTCCTAAGTTTGCATTATTTCAAGTTAGTTGAAATTCCTGGATTGGAAACTATTTAAAAAAAAAAAATTTCAACAATTCACTATTTGTCAGCTGGTAATTTAAATTCTTAAGAAATAGAAATAGAACGTCAGTCTGTGAACAGTATGAAAACAATTTTCTCTCATAATTATTTTTAATTCTATCATTTTTAGTATTTAATAAAAACTGTAATCAAATTGAGAGTAAATTAATATTAAAAAAAATGAAAGTAATTGTACAGAAATTAATTGCAGTAACAAAAAAACTAAGCTTCAAAAAAATAATTTCGGGTAAAGGAAAAAAGCCCAAAACTAAACATGATGTTTCTTAATTTTTTTAATTCAAAAAACGTTAAAAACCTCAATTTTATAAATAATTATTCTAGACTGTTTGAATTAAGACTAAAATGAGAAATTTTTTTTTCGATGTATGCAGCCTTTTAACACTTTACAGTAATCCAATTTGTAGGGAGAAATTGTGTTTGGCAGCAAATATTTTGAAAGAATTCTAAAGCCACAAAAGGAAAATTAAATTATGCATTGGATAAAAAAGATGTTGAAGATGCGGATGCACATTTTTACTCCAGAAATTAATCTATTAATAACTAGGCAAATATTAAAAAAAATCATGTTTGAACATAGTCACATATTTAAAAGAGTTACAATGAAATTTTAGGTGATGCCATAAAAGGATTTATTATGTTTCTTATAAACATTTCTAGCTTAAAATTAAATTATATTTAAATATAAATAAAAGTAACTCGTACAAATGTAAATTGTAAAAGTCACATAAAAGGCAAAGGAATGCTAAAACAAGAAACAACTAAATAAAACTCAAAATCTTTTTTCTATAACAAATATCCAAAGAACCAATATAATGCTTGACTGGTCTATTTGTAGACCAGTTAACCATTGTTCACGATGCTAGTAAAACGTTAATGCTGTTTTTCAAAGCTCTGTCTCCAAGGAAATCAAAAACCATAGTTTAAGTAGTTAAAACCATAGTTAAAAACCATAGTACACTTGAACCAATGCAATGTTTTTAATCTATGTTTATAATCTTGCCGTGAAGAATTATCTGGGCTTTAAAACAGACAAATAACGTATTAAGCTTTTTTGAAAATCGCCAATTCGGCGTTCCAGGTAAAAGCGTCAAGGTCCAAATTTGTATCGGCGTTAAGGTCCAAATTTCCAGGTAAACTATTCATTCAGACTAAACTATTCCTTCAGTCCCAGCCAATCAATGTTACACGTTGCTAATTTATTGAAGGCCAGCAAATTCAAATTCAAACTTATTATTCACGCTTCAGGTCACGTATTGTTTCTTTTTAATTAAAAAAAAGTGGTGATCACTAAAAAAAAATGATCCCACTTAATGGGGGGAGTAATAACTACCCATTAACGATTCATTGGATGACTGATGCATGAGCTTATTATTTCTAACGCTAGATGGCGACACAATATTAACTACAGTCTTACAATCACGAGTTGAGAGCTTTCTGTGAGGTTGTTTTCTGAAAGATTAGGAGCTCTTCTCGCAAATGCCAAACAGTAGCTAAGCCACATTCTGGGGACTAGATTCGGCTTGACGAAACACAACTCAGCCGCATGAACTTTCCACCCTCAAGACATAGATCTGTGATGTCACTCACGTCTTTTCATTCACTCAATCATTTCATTTACTCCCTTTTCTAAAGAGGGCGTAAAATAGTAACACTTCATAAAGTAACACATTTTCTTAAGTAATGCTAAGATTTATTAATGTTAAGTATTACCAAGGCTACAGCAGCTTGATTACATCCTTTTCTTGTAATTTTGCCTAATGGTACTTTGTGTACCTATGTGTGCCTCACATATTTTGGGGACAAAATTGTGGGAATAAAATTCTGCAATCAACAGTTTTTGATAGGCAGTTAAATAGTACACAATTGCCTGCATTTAGCTTTTTAAAAAGTATCGCTTTTATGCAATTAACGTTAAAACAAAGTTTCAGCTTCATACGGATCGGTTTTCATCAATTTAAACTGGAATAAAATTATATTTTTAAAAAATCTAACAACTAAGAAACGTGCAGTTTGTTAATACTTACTCAAAACCACAAAACGCATCACTTAGTAGCTTTAAAGTTTCGAGAGAAAATTCATAGAAAAATTATCAATCGCTATTTCTGATAATCTAATAAAGCGACCCTTTTACATTTTTCGAAATATGCTGTCAAATAATACTGTATGATCTAAAGTTTGTTAAGTACAAAAAATATCAGAAAAACACAAATTTAAAATTTAACCTAAAATCCAAGTTGGTGGGGATAAAAAAGCTCTTAAAGATATTAATGTATTTAAGGAAATGAGTGTTTATTATGTGTAATTTTTAAACATTTCTTTATACTAGTGGGCTGCGCCCCCTGCTCGCTAACGCTCGCCAACCCCCGAAAATTGCTACGCAATCTTATATGGTTTGCTTCGCTCGCTACTAACTTAGGTGCATTGCAAATGCACAAAATTCTAAGAATTCAAAACAATCATTCAAATCCATATAAAAACTTTTTTTTAAAAAAAAAATTACATCCTTTTAGTAAATACTAAGTCATTAAAATAAATTTGAATTCATATAAGTGACATGTAATTCGTTAAACCTATTAGAAATGTGCTATAGTATAATTCGTGATATAAATCGAAAATCGTCAAATAAATTCGTGAAAAAAAGCGCTTTTGACAAAATACTAAAATAGAGATCTATCGACAAAGACTGCTCACATCTACCTAGCTTAATAGTATGAGATTGCCGCATCTGATGCTCTCTGTTTTTTTCAGTTTCCAATTTTAAAAGCGCTATATGTTGAACCACCTCAGCTAGATTTGGCACTTGACATTTTTAGCGGCAATCATTGGTCGATTCACCGTGTAAGAGAAACAGTACGTAAACAAAATAAAGCAAACGTTGCCACCGGTGGAAAAGAAATACAGCCGAAATTTGGGAGCCACGTAAGAGAATTATGTATATTAGATGATACAAAACTGTTTTTAAATAGGTAGAAAATTATTTGCTGTTCAAAAAAACCTCTTTGTGTTTTATAAACTCTTTAATAATCTCTTTTTTGTAACTGAAATTGAAAAAAAGGAAGAAAATCATATTTTTGAAATTCTTCTACTAATTTATTCTTTACCCTATATGTTTAGGTCGTAGTAAAATCCCGCGATAATCCTACTCTACTTCAAGAGAAGCCTTATTCTGAAGTTGCCATAACGACGGGAAAGATGTAGTCTCTCTCACTCTAAATCTCACATGCTAAATGTTCCATTTTATTTTGTCGCTGCTTATCGATTCCCAATAGACGAATCACCGGCGAAAGTAACTTTTCCAGGAAACCTTCAAAGCTCCATCCAGCAAGGAGTGGGAAATTACAAAATACCTTTAAATAGGTTTTAAAGTGTTCATTGAGTATTTCAATATTGCTTGGTTTGTCAAATAAGATAAACTGGAGATGGAGTTGTCAGAAGTGGTGTCAAAGACGATAGTTTCGACAGCTTCGGAAATGATGTGAAGTTGTTTCATCCTTCTAATACAAGCATTTTTAAACTTAAGAGTCTTAAAGTTGTAATTAAATAATAAGTAAGCGTATTATATATGTTGTATATATATATATA